CAGAAGAACCCGAGCACAGATAGACGGACTCAATAGCGAGAAAGTCTTGCTGCGCAATTGTGTTTCCCAAGGTGGTGTTTTGTCCCCAACAATGTTTCTGGTCTATATCAACGACCTAATTGCTACACTACCCAATGGTATTAGCTGCAATGTTTGCTGACGACCTGGTACTCTGGTGCATAAATAAATGTGTAACGGTGACCACTCAACTGCTACAAGGATCCATAGATGCAATGGATGCATGGGCTGATAAATGGCATCACATAAACGTTGCACCCCTCTCTTCATCCTTCCCCAAAACAAAAATCAGGTGTCGTTCAGATAAAAAGAATACCACTAAGAGAGGATAAGGAGGCCACATACCTCGAAATAACGTTTGATGATAGGCTAAACATAGAGAAAACACATCAACAAGGCAGCAATCAAAGCCAAAAGGAAAATAGCTATCCTAAGAAAACTAAGTGGAACAACATGGAGCGCAAATGGGAAAATACTTAGGAAGGTTTATCAACAAAGTGTACGACCACACCTTGAACACGGGTCTACTGCATGGAGTTCAGCATCAAAAACCACACTACAAAAGTTAGACAAGGTGCAAAATCAAGCGCTTTGAGTAACAACAGGCGGAATGAAATCAACAGCTATAGCTCAAACACTGACAGAACGAAGAGACCCTAAGATACTAATGCAAGCAAAAAAGTTTATTAGCATGCCTGAACACCCTATGAAAGAAAGAATCCAAAATCTAGCAATGGGGCTACTAACAGAAGCAGTTTCATCCACCAGGCCCAACGACTCTGCAGGCAAACCAATGATCTCCCTGCAGCAAATAGCCCCTTAAATGCTATTCAAGATCAGACCCCTCGGAAAGAGGATTATAAGTTGCCAATACACATCCAGACGGAAGTGAAAGGTGTATTCGACAAAGAAGAACAAAACAGTATGCAACGTAAAATAGCCACCCTAGCTCTACTTGATGACTAAAACCCAGATAATCTTTGTGCTCGTGTCTATACGGATGGGTCAGCATAAAACGCAAGTAGAAATGAATGAGCAGGAGTGTATATTAGGCATCCGAATAATACCAGATATACAACCAAAATACCTACAGGAAAGCTTGTCACAATTATGATGCAGAAGTTCAAGCCGTCCAAATAGCAGCAGAAACTGTTAAATATACATCATATTTCACAACCCGTGGTATTTCTGACAGATGCAAGAGCGGTGCTTCAGGCACTTCAATCTGGAAAACTACCTGCTATACGAACACTAATCTCCAAACTAGGCAGTCGGTGTAAGGTAACTATGCAATGGATACCATCCCACTGTGGAGTTCCTGAAAATGAAAGAGCTGATAAACTAGCTAAGGAAGATGAAAATGAAGAACAACCTGACGTAACAGTCTCTTATCAACAAAAGAAGAAAATATCAAATCCATCAGAAAGACACCAAAACCGACACATTACGATTATAATTTTATGGACAGACCATAGCAAGTTATTATTCTACTCCTTAGAACAGGACAACTGACTTCGCAGCCACATGTACACAAAATTTTTTATCGGCTAATAAGCCATGTGCACATGTGGACTGGCACCTGAGACAACAGTCATGTCCTCCAAGGCTCTCCGAAACACAACATATCAAGGCAAAACTTTTGGCCAAGAGAAATATCGGTGCAAGTCAAACTTTATGGATCGCTGAGCGAATACAAAATACAGTGAAGTTCATACTAGAGACAACATTGCAGATATAGATAATCTTTTTCAAGCGAACGAAAGAAGAAGACTTCAGAGGTCTCGGGAAGTTGTGCATCCTTTGGAAATTTTCTCCTGGTAATGCTGTAGTTCTGCACCACTAAGTGGTGAACTGATGCATGCCAAGCTAGATGCTGGTTCATTTATATATATATATATATACATATATATATCCCCTGACGCCGCGAGACATTCCAGAAATAGAGAAAAGAAGAAAAAGGTATGTATAATTTAAACGACTGAATAGTCAGCTTTAATGCCTCTAAGCCGGCAGAGGAGTCAAATTCTTTATGTTTATTCAAGTTGTTTCTAAAATGCCGTTTTCTGTGTCCTTTACTTCCAACTTGAATTTACTGAATGTGTTACATTGTGGTTTCCCCTCTGTCAATTCTTGAAAGCATGAGTGTTCTATGACGTAAAAACTATAAAGTAGACCTGAAGAATGAAATGCTTTTGACTAGTCCTTTTTCATGTTTATGAAAATTAATGTGTCTATATTTTGTACGCAAAGTAACAGCCATCAGATCTAGTGAATATTATATTTTTTGGCGTTACTTTGCAAAAAAGGAAATCATAAGTATTTAATAAATAAATTTTTTATGATTAGGTTTCTTCAGAAGATAAAGAACAAATCGCCAAATCAAGTTGCAATGTTATTTCAGAATGAGCGAGCGCGTGCATTAACTGAGGCACCATTGTCAAAACCACCTGCTTTATATCCCATACAACTAGAAATACCCTGAGTGTTTAGATTTATATTTGTTGTAGGTGGTCTTGTATGATGGTATATATATTTATCGTGAAAAAAACTATGTTTAGTGTTTGTTACTAAATAAAAGGAAACCAAATCTTGAAATGTCTGTATGTGATTTTGTTTTTCATTACAATGTTTGCTTTTTACTTCTGTAGTTTGTATGTGCACCCATGCGAGTGTGTGTGTAAATGTATGTATGCATATATATATATATATATATATATATATATATATATATATATATATATATATATATATATATATATAATCTTTCTTAGTGTAGTGCCTTTAAATAAAAGACAGTAAACCTATATAACTAAATGTAATGTAGTTAATAATATAAGAAACTTATGTGTGTCGAACCACGGTGCTGTTATGAATCATGGCTGTGAATCATTGAGTATCATTGGACAAATCAACAGAAGACTGGAGGCCGTGGAGATTTCAGAGGTATGCTACAAATACCATGGACAGCCAGAGTAGCTAACAACTGTCTGGAAATGAATAATGAAACTGAAAATCAATATACAGCTCTTCTTTGGCCAGGGGGTGAGAAGACGGTACGGAGAAGATCGTCACGACCGAAAATGTCAACGGTATAAGTGGCAGAAGCACACCAAGGAAAAGAACGCTTGAAGACACAGATTAATGGCATGAAGTAATATCAGAGGTGCAGCTGACTCAAAATACAAAAGTCTGAGACCTGTGGAGACATATCCCCCCCCCCCCCCACCCCCTAAAAAATAGAACTGGTCGGCTTCATATCATCTGAAACACACACATCAAGTTAACATTGTGACTGTAAAGCTTTCAACCCGTTACATGAATTTACAATGGCATAAGTACGAATAGTAATCAACAAAAATCACTCAACTGAAGTATCCCTTAGAGAAATCCACGTGCCAGTGTGCTCACCGAAGTCCAGTCAATCATGTTGATATACATGAGATCCATGGAATGACTTGCGTCTATGCAGCCTGACAGGACACATGATAATGGTGATGTGTGTCGATGGTGCAGTCTTAAGAGCAATAACTAATGAATAACTACAACCAAGTTACAGGAAATGGCTGGGGGATTGGGGGGGGGGGGGAACAGTTTAAAAAATCAATGTCAGTTAGATAACTGGAGGTATGAAGTAAAGATCATATCAAAATGAATGAAAGAATAAATTAGTGAACAAATGAATGAATGAGTCACAAATGATATCTTTGTTTAGAGACTTCTAACGTGAGCTCTGACCTCTTCTTCGGTAACCATAGACGAGATGCCATGCTAATGGTAATATATAATGGCTGATGTACAATTACATTTAAGCATAATAATTTATGGATGGTCAGGAATGTAATATACAGGTACATAGATAACATAAAATGGAGGATAAAGAACATAATATTTCAAGAAAAAACTAAATTTTATAAAAACGAAGATCAAATGTAATGCATTATTGTCATTTAAGGTTTTAAGACAAATCCCCTCTCCCCCCCCCCCCCACCCCTTCCCACCCCATTCCCTTTCTATTATTTTTGCTGAAGCACCCACCTCTAAATCTAAACTGAGAAGAACAAGCTAATATTCTACCTTTCCTATCACTGGCTTGCTGCTGCAACCACAATCATTTCTTAAGGTAAGTCGTTGCCTTGTTTTAACACAACACCCAAGTGGTTGTATTTTTTCTGAAAGCTTCCTTTAATAGCCTTCAGACGGGATGGTAACCTGAAGAAAAAGTTCTAGTCTACCTGGTTACTCCCCACTCTTAGTCCGACTTAGTCAAAGAGTCTGCCTAGTTCTCGGTTCAAGACCTCTCCGTGCGTCGTATACAGGCAGATAGTGTGGCGTTCCTTGATGCAAATTTCTATATTTGCGACTGATTCGCTAAAAACACCTACCATAATGTCATTTATGCCCTAAAATCTAGTATGAAGTAAAATGGTAACTTGACTGACAAACTAAATTCGTTATTGACTGTAGTTAGTATCTTGAAAATTTCGTATCTCAATACCCATTTTTTACTTTTTATAACGGAAAATCAATTATTCTGTTATCAAAAGAACTGCCTGATTACCTCAGCTTTGCTGGTACCTTTCCTCATAAAGCTGAGTTATCGTCTGTTAACATTTTGTATTTAAAGACTAGGTTTTTCAGAGCCATAAACCAACAACGATACTATCTTCATATCACCACTGCCATTGGCCAAAAAAAAAAAATGTTTGTCAGTCTTTCCTAAGAGTGTAGCTGGGCCCGAGTTCGTTATATGTTCCAAGTTTTCTATATAAGCGAGCATAAAAATAGGAATGTTAGATCAGATAGCGATGTGATTTTAATGATAAAGATACAGACACAATTGTACAGAACGATGTAGTAGATAAATAATCTCCATTCTAGTCAAATGAAATATAAACTATATCATCATCATCAGGTGCCTTGCCGACTGACGTGGGCGATCATGCCTCTCCATATTCTGCGATCTCCTGCAGCGTGTATCAGTTCGTTTGCCGACACACCTCCATGCCATGCAACAAGACTGTCAAGAATCTTCTCTCGTTGTCTACCTTTATCTCTGGTCAGCTATTGGAAACAGCTACACACCCGAACAACAATATCCAATTCATTGTAATCCTGATATGTTACATCTGATGCGTTTTAGCCCTGGTCTACTTAGACAGGCATTCCTGATGTCACTGCAGTATAGGCCAGTCGAATACAATACCTGTTAAAGATATACAAACCCTCAGCACAAAGAGTCGTATTTCTTGAACGTTTCGTGTATTTACTTTATTGACTGAATTTTCTTTGAGCAGACCTTTGAACGTTTCTTGTATTTCTTAGCCTGTACTCCGCTACCCACTCGACCAGTCTCGGGGTACAATCTCAAATACACGCACATACATATACACAAATATACACATTGACTGTGTAATAAGCTACTATTATACTTGTTAAATTATTTTAACTTGTGAGCTGCTAAGACATTGATTGTTAACTGTCATTTACTCTCTTGCACGTTAATATTTTTTGTGCGTTTTTTCCTCATTACTTTTGTTCTGCCTTTTCTTGTTATTATCTCGCATATTGCTTTTATTTTGCACTGCTCGTTTGCACTTTACGCTTTCTGGAAATGTCTAGCCAACTTGAAAACTGGCTCAGTAGAGCTGGTCTTAGATTAGGTCATCTTAATATATGTCATCTAATGGGCAAACTGCCCGAATTATCCCTCATCCTTAGTCAACATTTTCAGATATTCGGTCTTACTGAAAGTCGATTAAATGATTACATCTCAGATGATGATGTATCGATAAATGGCTATAGTGTTATTAGAAGAGATCCACATAAGAAACAAGAGACAGGTATAGCGGTCTACTTATGTAGTTCACTTAATGTTTTCCGCAAGCTAGACTTAGAAAGTAGTGAGATAGAATGTGTTTGGCTTGAGTTAAAACTACAAAATCACCAACCACTACTAGTTGGTTATCTTTATCGCAACCCCAGCGCTGGAAACATTTGGTATGAAAACTTCACTGCCATGATGGATGCAGTGATTACTATAGGCAGAGAAATCATACTTCTTGGGGACTTCAATATCGATACTCAAAAGTCTAACAACACATGGGAGAATATAGTTACTTCATACAATCTCCAACAACTAGTTAAACAACCTACTAGAGTAACTAAATCATCTTCAACACTTATAGATCACATTTATACAACACGTCCTGAAAATATAGTGGAATGCAAGGTTCCCACTACTGCAACGTCCGATCATTTTCCTGTCTGCTGTACGTGGTCGAAAAAGGTAACTAAAATTCCAAAACACAAAGATTTAAGCATAAAATTTAGAAGCTACAAAAATTTCAGTCAAGGGGCATTTTTACTAGATTTGCTAAGTTCACCTCTTGACCATGTTTATCAACTTCCTGATGCGGATGATGCTCTGGAATATAGGCTAAAGACTTTCCTTGGGGTTTTTGATAAACATGTGCCAGTTAAGGAGGTCCGTGTGAAACATCAGACTAAATCACCATGGATCACACAGGAAGTAGTCGACATTATGAGAGAACGAGATAGGGCACACAAAGATAAGAACTTTGTCACATATCGGAGTTTGCGTAACAAAGTTCAGTATGTTATTCGAAAGGAAAAAAAGAACTATTTCAGAAACCTAGTATCAGATAAAAGAAACAGTAAGGATATATGGAAGGCAATTAACACACTGACAAACAAAAACACTTCAACACGTATGGTAACATCTAATATAACATCTGATGATTTCAGCAATTACTTTCAGGATGACATAGAGCAGATAAAGGCTACAATACCGAGCTATCCATGTGATTTATCCATGCTGTCAACATGTTGTGAGAATAAATGCTCCAGAGATTTTCCCACTGACATGCCTTTGATGTCAGTCAATGACGTTTCTAAATATCTCGCTAATCTCAAAAACAGTAATGCATCAGGTCTAGATGGTGTGAGCAATAGGATCCTTCGTTGTACTGCATCAGTTATTTGCATGTCATTAACCTACATTTACAACCAGTGCATCGCCAAGGGTTACTTTCCTCCAGCCTTTAAAATTGCCAAAGTCTATCCTCATATAAAATCTAGATCATTAGACAGTAGTATTCCCAGTAGCTATAGACCTATCTCTCTACTATCATCCCTATCAAAACCACTAGAAAAGCACATTCACAAAACAATACTCCAACATTTAGATCAAAATGAACTTATTGTTGACAACCAGTCAGGGTTTCGACCAAAATATTCTTGTCATACTGCCTTAACAAATATGATAGAAAACTGGCATCAGAATATTAACGAAGATAAGATATGTGGTGCAGTGTTTATAGACTTCAAAAAGGCCTTTGACATGATAGACCACACTATTCTTATCCGAAAGCTGGTAACAATGAAAGTGAGTTCCAACCTGTTAACAATGCTAACATTTTTTTTATTAAACAAAAAACAAGTTGTTTCACATAATAAATCTAT